CAGGGGCAGCCAGGCAGGGGAGGCTCACCTCTGGGATGGCCCCAGCAGCGCTGCCAGGCTACCCCTGGGAAAAAATTAGCAGGTGCTGTTTTTTACTGTCTTCTTAAATATGTCATCACAGAGGTGTTACCAACCTCTCTAATTGGGCCAGCAGCATGTCCTTCTTCAGAGCCATCAGAGACTGGCTCTGTCAGACATGGTGGGAGTTTCTATCAGCTTCTCACAGAAGCCACCCCTGTGCCCCCCCCCCCCCCCCCATGAAAAACCAGTTATGCCAAACCAACACATGGTATTAAAGGATTTAAAATGGGATTTGCCATGAAAAGGCCCCACTGAAGCTCCATAGCTTTCATTAGATTTTAACTCTATTGACCATTCCAACCCAGGAATGATTTTTCATGAGCATTGATCCCAACTGGCATCCATCCATTAAACTTCCTGCAAAATATAAAATCTTATCCTACTATTTTTTAATAAATAAAGGAAATACAAACCCCATCAGTGTAACAGGGAATTACCACACATATAAATCCTTACCGGACAGAGAGATTCAATCCAGTAAACCACTGGGTGGCATGAGGGTCTGCACTTCCCAAGGGCAGGGTTTGCTAGATCCCTGAGCCAGGACTCCTTTTAGACACCCAGTGAGACACCACCAGCAGCAAAATTATAACCCTGCACTCCCTCTGTGCCTGTGCCCACACCCAGACCCTGAACAGTACCTGCAAAATTGAGATATTCCAGTGCAAACTGGATTTCCTACATGATCTCCTACTGGAAGAACAGCCTGTTTGTGTAAAAGTTATCACTGAATTGCACATCTCATTATTGCACATTTCATAATGGCAGATCTCATTATGGCATCTCAGATTCTGGAGCAAACTTTGGTAAAAGTTGTGACTCTCCAGAAAAACTGGTAAATAAGAAATGTAATGTTTTTCTGAATCAAGTATGCACTATCCTGACTTTTTTTCTTGAAGAAAGTGAAAGTTGTATAACAGATGAGAATGGACTAGTTGGTCTAAAAAGCCAAAGCTATTCACTAAACATTGGCCTGATAGATATACTAGAAAGAAGGGCAGAAAAAATATGTACAGAGAAAGACAGATAGATTGACAGAAACTCATGTCTTAAAATAGCAATATTCACATGAGATACACTTCATTATGTGGACCCTGTAGGTCAGAAGAATGTGTATTGAAAATAAATGAGTTCTATCCTTCAATTGTCATGGCCACTGGCAATAAACAGACACCTGATGAGGCAGAGCAGGCACAAGGGAAAGGTTTGTGTTAGCTGGAATGACTGGATGTGTAAGGAAGCACAGCCCAACACTGCATTTAGCAAACAGAACACGGTACCACCCCAGAGACCCAGAGACACACCCAGAACAGCCCCCAGAGCCACGGCCAGGCTGTGCTGAGCAGGGCTGTGCTGCTGGGGAGTGTTTCTCAGCAAGGGGGGACTGAGGGATTCTATTCCCCTGCTGCTCACATTCCCAGTATCCACTCCCAGGCTATCCTATCCCTCACTCCGTGTTTGCCCCATGAGCTGTGGAAGGGTTTTCAGAGGTTTTCTCCCCATTGCCCCCCACATTTGCTGGGCCCCACACAAAATCCTCTTGCAAGTGTCCCCTGTTACTGCCCAGCATCATCCCAGGCTGGAACAGTGAAGGCCACGAGCCACACCAGTACCCTGGGAAAGAGGCTTTGCTCCCCACACCCACAGGGACTCCCAGAACATCACAGTGCTGTGGTGAGGGCTGATGAGCCCAAGCTTTGCCAGGCTCAGCAGCACTGGGATGAAGACCTTGATGTCACATGGAGCAGCAGGAGCACAGCTCCTCCAGGAAATGCCATCTGCGAGGTCAGCTCCAACCAGGACCTCCTGGGGGAGCAATGCAGAAAACAAGGAGAGGATTTCCTTGGCTGCTGCTCTCAGGCTTTCCTCCTCCACATACTCCAAGGGAATGGCTTTGCTAAAGCATGTCCTGCCACTTGTCTCTTCTTCACTGGCTTTGCCTACAGCAGAGCTCTGCATTATCTTCTCTGCTGTTCTGTGTGTGGCAACGCCAGCACAGGATCAGCACATCCTGCTAAGACCTACCTGTTTCCTTTGGGTATTTCTGAAAAAAAGCTGTGGGTACTCACTCCAGTGAGCAAACCTTAACATAGGAAATGCTGTCTGAGAGGTATTAAGGGGAGAAGGAACAGGAAGTGTAGGGAAAACACAGCTCAAGTCCTGTTATTAAAGCAGTGACAGAGGACTTAAACAGGGCAGTGGAGGAAGAAGGAGGGTAAAGTCAAGTGTTTTCAAAGTGCCAAGATGCTGCCGTTTCAGCTCCTGCTCTCCATGCAGCAGCAGCAGCACTGTGGGCTTTATTCAGGGACACCCTGCACACAAATCCCCACGCACCAGAGGGCAGAGCTGACCAGAGGCAGCACAGCACGGACTCCTCCAGCAGCACCTTATTGCAGAGCTCCTGTTTGGTGCAGCCCTCTGCTGCAAAGCTCCTGCCTCCTCTGCTCACAGCTGCCAGAATCTGGGCAGTGTATATAAAACCCTCGTAATTCTTCACCCTGATGACATATTGCAGAGCTGCCCTGGGATTTACACCCTGTTTCCCTTCAGGAAACAAATCAGGCTCCAGTGATGACTCTTCTCCAGCGGGTGCTGCAGCAGGATGGATGTGCTGTCACTGAGCCTATGTGCAGCTGCAACAGGTTGCTGGTGATTAAATGCAAAATTCATCCAGGACATGAGGTTCTGATTCAGCCTGGAGGCAGCTCACAGACCTTTACAGCATTCTCCCTGTGGAAACACCTACTCATCCTTCAAACAGACACTTTTCCCTGCCTTTTATCTGAGAGGTAAAATCTGGAAGAAAAACAGGGTTGTTGTGTCCCTGTTGAGTGCTACTTCCCGGATTTCCATAACCCGGGGGATTACCTGGAGTCAGTGAGATGGAAGCCCTGCCTCTGTGAGAGACAATGTTGTCTTCTGGCTCAGGTAGGAGCTGCTTTGCAGAATGGGACGAAGTACTGCACTCAATCTCTCACTTTGACAAGGACAAGTGCTGTCAGTCCATAATATCTTGTCTCTTTCTAGCTTGCCCTGATCTGTTTTAGCAGAGCATTTATTTGGCAGACAGGGAATGTTTGTCTTTCTGGAAACTACAGTATTCCCCACGAGGAAAAAAAAATTAAAATCATTGTTTTAGAAGCAATTATCTCAAAAACTCAATAGCTAGGGGTGACACCCTGCTGGGTCCCAGGGGGGCTGCCAAGAGCTCCTGTCTTCTGCTTTTCAAAGTCCTTTTTTAAGCCCTGCAGGTGCTTTGAAAGTGCTGGTTGCTCCCTGGCTTTGAGGTTTTTGCTTTTGGCTAGTTCTTATTTCATTCTTGGCAAGTCCACAGGCAGAATAGCTCCCACTCCCCACACTTTGCTACAGTCAAGAGAGGTCTATCCACTCTCCTGGGATGTGACCTCACTTCCCAACTCTTCTGTCCCCTGGACTCTTGGATCTGTTTCTCCTTTTTTATCCCATTCTCCAGACCTGCTCACACATGGCTTCTCTTTAGCAAGCTCCTCTCCTTGGAACATGGTTGACGCCTTCCTACAGCTTGGATGACCCAACCCCTGCTCAGACCTGCCCAGGGAGCAGAAACAAGGGAATGGTTTGCCTGAATAGCCAGTTTGAAACAGACACACATCGGAGATATGCACAGGCAATCACTTACGTGTACAATTCTATGTTCCTGCTCCGAGGTGTAAAGAGAGCACAGCCCAGGAGATGGCAATGACTTTGGGGCTGGAGTCAGTTGGACTCATTTGTTCAGAGATCCAAAGCAGCACGGATAGAAAATATTCCCTTCTCCCAAAACCTGACAAAGATTCTGCTGATGAACCAGGGATCACAAACCCTGCCCAGGACCTGCTCTCTGCAGGACACACCATAACTAGCAGAACAACCAGCAGAACTCCCAAGAAATAACCACCTGAAACCTGTAACATTTCTGACTCCGGGATCACAGAGCTGAGGCACTGCCCAGCATGGCCTGAGACCACAGTGGGACTTAGCCCAGAGCCCAGCATGCCCCAGCTCAGCCAGGATGGGGCTCAGCCCCCTCTGCAGCCCTGCCCCAGCAGTACAGAGGGGCATCACTTCAGCTAGGCAACCTCCTAGTAATTTTTATTTTACACGGACACATTTACCACCACAGCACCCAGGCTAGCCTGCACTGCCATCAGGGTGCCAGCCAGAAGCTGGAAACTCAGCAGCAGCTGCTTCCCTCAGCATGCTCAAGCACCCAGCTCGCTCCACCTCCCCCCCTCTCAGAGCAGACCAGGGTCAGAGCTCAGCCTCTCAGTTGCATTTCCTCTCCTTCTCTTTCCCCTCCTTTCATCTAACACAGCACAGGAAGGACACAGCACCAGACAGGTACCCAGCTGCTACCCACACTCTGCAGCAAACCAGAATTTATGAGCCATGAATACCAGGAACAAGAAGAAAAATTTCCCCTTCCAGAGTTCCAGCAACGCTGTAAACACATGGAGAGACACAGCTGGACACTGCTCAGACCAGCCCCAAGCACCTGCCCTTCTGGTTGGCTCTGTCCAGCCCTCTCTGCTTCCTTCTGCTGGCTGACATCCACTGGCCATGCCAAGAGACCCTCAGGCCCCCTCTGATGCTCAGCAGCATCCATCTGACCCTGAGCAAACACTGGGAGCTGTGGGCCTTACTCAGCATGGAAGCTGGACCTGCTACAAACCCTTTGCAGGTATGGCCCCATAAAACCTCCATTAGGACTCCAACAAACAAACTTCAGCTCAACAGGCTTCCTCCTGCTCCTCCTCTGTCATGCCAGAGCCTGGCAGCCACTGTCTCGCCACACCGGACCCACACAGTTTGGCCAGGCACCTCCAGGGCTGTCCTGGTCCTGCAACACCATGGTCCACATGCCCAGAGAAGAGAAAAGCAGCATATCTGCTCATACTCACAGTTTTGAAGTCCTTGTGGTTGCACTCCTGGCCCCTGAACTTGCAGTACAGCATCATATCCTTCAGGTCATGGCCAACCCGTGCCAGGAACTCTTGCATGCTGAAAACTTTGGGTTTATACTGCTTAAAGTTGGCCTTTTCTTGGAGGGTGGCTAAGACAGCAGGGTCAGCCAGGTGAGGGTTGGGGATCTGCAGGTTGACATCCAGCAGCGCCAGGAGCTCCCCAGCATGGTACAGGTCATTGGTGGTGAGCCGGGAGAAGCGGAACTCGTTGAGGTTACAGATGGTGACAGCAGGAAACACCAGGCTGTTCGCCACCACCTCATCCACTTTGGTCACGTGCTGGTAGGAGAAGTAAAAAGCCACCCTGTCCGAGCTCTCCACCAGGAGCAGACCCAGCGAACCCACAAAGGCCAAAGTCCAGAGCAGGCGCCGGATGGTGACCGGCCCGTAGACAAAGACGTGACGGATCCCGTGGAGCGTGGTGGTGTTGGCAAAAATCTGGATGCTGGAAGGCTGCAGGCTGCCCATGCTGCCCTCGCTGGTGCTGTCCTTCAGATCCATAGTTCATTTAAATCCTGGTCCTGCTTTTTGGGTCAGTCTGGAGCCAGAACTGGGATCTGGATCTCTCCCCTCTCCTCTCCAAAGTAATTAAACCCTTTCAGAGGCAGGTGAGGGAAGCAGAGTGAGACCAGCTGCTGCAAGTTTATCCCACGAGCTCAGCAGTAGCTTCGTCGGGGTAAATATTTATATAAAATCCATTCAAACTCTTGCTCTTGATTTCCTCGGTGCGATAAGGAGGGCTGGTTTTATTTAGGGAGACACCAAGGTGATGTGGAAGAGATGTGGGTGGGCAGCGAAAGCTGAGCCAATGGCAATAAAGTCCTCCCCCTGCACACACACACACAAGCACACACGCGCCGAGGGGAGCTGAGATTAAGCGAGCGAGCCTAAAACAAGCGGAGGCAGCTTCCAGGCTGTTAACTAGTGCGGAAAGCCGAGCATGCTGCTTCCCGCATATCTTCAGCCCGAGCGGGAGATGCTCCCCGAGCTCCGGGGATGCGGCTGCAGGATTCAGGCATCTCTCCTCCTCCCCACCTCTCCATTTTGGGCAGAAAACACCACCCCGAAAACCCAGCCTGTGCTGTCGGTGTGATTTGCAAGGGAAAGGTGGGCAGCTAATTCAGAGGGAGAAACAGGAGAGCAAAAGAGGGAGGGGAAAGGAAAGGCTAAAAAATAAAAGGAAAGGCTGAAAAATAGAAAAGAAGGGGACTGCTGCTCAGCTGCACGGACGCACACACGCAGATTGGAAAGAGGTGCATTAACTCGCTTCTCTTTCACACGGCAGCTCCGAGCAAAACCCAGCCAGGGCAAGGGCCGGGCAGCGGCGGGGCTGGAGCGTCTCTGGCCTCTGCTTTGTCTGCCTTAGAGCCGCCTCGGAGCCGCCCAGAGCTCTCCTGCCCTGCAGGACTCTCGGGGAGAAGCGCTGGGAGCTGTGGGTCGCGCAGGGATCCGGAGGGCAGGGCCGGGCCGGGCAGGGCCGGGCCGGGCAGGGAGAGGGACCGAGCCCCGCAGCTGTCCGGGGCCGGGCTGTGCCTCGGCGGGGCCGGGCTGTGCCAGCAGCTCCTGAGCAGATCCTGCTCGGCCCCCGCAGGATCTCCAGATGTTCCGTGTGCCCCGAAGGCACCTGTGACGGATGTGTTTGGGGAAGGCGCTCCCAGATGTGCATGCAGCCGGGAGGCTGGGAAGGAGGGGGTGGAAGGGAGGAAAACTGGATTTTCTACCCAGGAGATGCTGCAGATCCGTGACGATGCCTCGGTGCATGCGTGGTGCGACTGCAAGAGTGCGAACGAGGGGGATCCACACCAGAGGTGTGAGGGGCTGGGTCTGAACAGGGTCGGAGTAACTCCCTTCCACACCGGCTCCATGAACAGCAGGGGCGTTGCTCGCCTTTTTTCAGATCCAGAATGAAACCCCAGGATTTCTGTCTCTGTACAGCACCCAGCCCTACAGCAGGTGAGGCTCCCAGAGCATGGAAGTGCCCAGAACGTGGTTTCCCAGTTGGAATGAGGTGGGAGCAGAGGGTTGAAGCACAGGCAGAGCCTGTCAGGGTCTGCAGGGCAATGCCTCATGACTTTCAGCCACCTTTAAGGATTAAATGAGCCCAGTTTCTGGATTTATAACCCTGAGTGTGGTTACCATGACAACTGACCAATTGCACCATTTGGCCCCTTCACCTTTCAGGTGCTTGACTCCACTGATGGACCCCCAAGACCCTTGTCCCCCGGCCGTGAGCCACCCTGTCCTCCCCCGATGGTTTTCACCCAGAGATGAGATAATTTCTGCTTTGCTGTCTCCACATTTGGCCTTGGCAGCCAAAGGCAAGAGGAGTTGTGGCATCCCCCAGCATGGATGTTCCTATGGCAATATCCCTCAGTCTCAGCTACCCAGCCCTGCTACAACACGTACTTTCTCCATTTTACACCAGGGAATGAGGCAAAAAGGGGACAAAGGACTTGGGAGCCACGAGATGGTTTTCCCAGGAGGACTTTTCATACCAGGGGGTTGCCCTGAAGCTGCAACCTCCTTCCATAGCCAGAAGGCTCCAGCACTCTGTTGTCATGAATGGCTGGGGTGCAGAGGGAGCAGGAGCTGCCTCCAGTTTGCTCTTGTACAAATCCACATCAGCCCTGAAATGCGAAATATGGTCCCTCCTCCTGCATCTGTGCCTGTGAGTGAAGCCAGGCTCTCAGTACAGTCCATTGGTGGCTAAACAGAGCTCTGTTCCTTCTGCATTACACAGAAATTCAGACAAGGACAGATGCACAAACCTCCTGCACCTTGTGGTGCCCTTTCCAGGAGAGTGGAAAAGGCAGAGCTGAGCACACCCAAACAAGCTATGGCCCAGAATTAAAGCAGCAGAGTGGGTACAGCACCCTTGCTCCTGGCTCCAACCTCACTGCCTGTCTCCCTTGTGCTCATCACCCCTGCATGGTCAGGGACAATATCCTTCCCTTCTAAAAAATCCCTGGCCGGAATGGGCTCCCTTTCCTCCCCACTCCCAGCCTATCTGCAAATCCCCCTCCCTTCCCCATGCCTGCGCTGGCCCGGCAGTGTGTTAATGCTTTCATTTGTTCCCCGTTAAGGCTTTCATTTGTTCCCCGTTAGTGCTGCCTTTGCAATGCCGTTGGCTGGAATTCACACCACAAACCATGCCTTTTATTGTTGAACTGTGCGGGGAGCTTTGGCTGCAGCCTGGAGGGAACAGCCCCGTGCCCAGCAGAGCTGCCTGGCACCAGCTCGGGCTGTGCTGCCCCTGGGGATGGGCACAAACCAAGGAGACAAACCACGGAATCATGGAATGGTTTGGGTTGGAAGGGATCATCTCATCCCACCCCACCTTCACTGTCCCAGGCTGCTCCAAGCCCTGCCCAGCCTGGCCTTGGGCACTGCCAGGGATCCAGGGGCAGCCCCAGCTGTCTGGGCACTGTCCCACAATGGTGAGGGCTGGTGGCTCAGGCTGTGCCCAAGGAAGCAGTGCCTGGGGATGGGCTAACACCAGCAAGGCTGAGGGACATGGGAAGCAAGGGCTGGTAAAGGTTGACGGCCCCTCTGGCCATACATGTGAACATCCCCTCTAAGGGACACGCAGGGGAGGAAAGGCAGCAGCCTGGCTGGTCCCATAAAGTCAGGGGGAGGAAAGGCAGCAGCCTGGCTGGTCCCATAAAGTCAGGGGGAGGAAAGGCAGCAGCCTGGCTGGTCCCATAAAGCCAGAGGGAGGAAAGGCAGCAGCCTGGCTGGTCCCATAAAGCCCCTGAGGTGGCAGAGCCCTGCTAAGGACACCTGCACTAGGGAATGCCGGGGTAATGGGAGCATCCCTGGCAGGTGGAGCTGCTGAGGGAGCTCGTAGCCCAGCCTCAGCCCCTGGATGTTCCTCGCAGAACATGCTGCTTCAAATTTGCTTCAGCAGACAAGCCAGGCAGGGCCAGAAGACGTATCCCTGTTTTCCACCCCTTTGCAGAGATGGAGGGAAGTGGAGAGGGCCAGGCTGGCTGGGAAGAGGGCAAGCAGGCTGTGCAGAGCCCTCTCTCCTTTGCACAGCCCGTGCCTGCCCTCTTGTGTCTCCAGCACTTGCTGCAGTGCTCGGGATCCCACCCCGAAACAGCGGGAAACGGCTCTATTCGAGGAAGAAAAAGGGATGAAAAAGGGTCCCGACCTGTGTGAGCCCCTCTGCTTCTACAGCCCCACCTGAGCCCTCCTGGGAGCACAGCCCAGGTAAAGGGCTTGCAATGAGAAACGCAGGACTGACCTCACAGGCACAGCACAGGGATGTTTTACAAAGAAAATGAGGTGCTTTGGTCCCCCATGTAGCTTAGTACATGGTCCCCATAGCCCTGAGCCAGAGCCCTCTCCTTAACCCTGGAAATCTCTGTATTTTTTCTGTTTTTTCTGCAAGTTTGTTCTTGTTCTTTTGATGTTCCACTCTGGGCTTGAAGAGAAAAAGGATTAAAAAAAAAAAAAAAAGGCAAAAGGCAATGATGGCTGCAGTCCAAGGAAGAGGTTTGTCCGACAATCACAGAATCACTTAGATTGGAAAAGTTCTCTGATTCCACTGAGTCCAACTAAGTTGACCCAGCACTGCCAAGGCCACCACTGACCATGTCCCCAAGTGCCACATCCGCAGGGCTTTTAAACCCCTCCAGGGATGGGGACTCTAACCCTGCCCTGGCAGCTGTGCACCCCTTTCAGTGAAGACATTTTCCCTAATGTCCCTAATGTTTTCCATAATGTCCAATCCAACCTGCCCTGGCCCAGCCTGAGGCCGTTCCCTCTGCTCCTGTCCCTGTTCCCTGGAGCACAGCCCGGCCCCCCCGGCTGTGCCCTCCTGGCAGGAGCTGTGCAGAGCCACAAGGGCCCCCTGAGCCTCCTTTGCTCCAGGCTCAGCTCCAGATCCTTCCCTGGCCCAGCTGCAGATCATTCTGTGGTTGCATTGATGGGAAATGTCCCATCAATGTCCCACTGGGATCTCACTGGGTGCTGCTCTTGCCGTGGGCTCTGAAGGCAGAAAGGACAACAGGCATTTGGAAGGGAAACCAGGCAGCATTGGGCCAACCATAATGACTCCTGGAAGAAGGACTTTGGTTAAGTTAATTGTGATCTGTAGCTCCCCCTCCATTTCTCAGGCTTCCCCCAATCTTTTTGGACTCTCTTGTCACTTAAATTTTGACTGCCAGTGTCTTCAAAGCAGGGACACAGAGCTCCCATGAGTAGAGAGGGCTCAGCTACTTAAAGGAGTCCACCTTTCTAAACATGGAACTGAATGTTGAATGTTGATGTTTCCCCTGAAATTAAATCTGATCACTTCCAAAGTAGCTTTGGCTCAGTTAAACAGCTTTTTAATATATAGAGAAAATTGAAATTTTTATTTCAGTGCATTTAATATTGTGCTTGAATTTATAATGGGGTATAAAATGAAAGCAATTGAAAAGAAAAAGTCTCCTTGAAAGAAACCAAAAAAATTTAAATGGCTGCATAAAATGCCTTCTAAAGAAAGGTCATAGAATCCCAGACTGGTTTGGGTTGGAAAAGACCTTAAAATCATCCAGTCCCACCCCCTGCCATGGCAGAAACACCTTCAACTACCCCAGGCTGCTCCAACCCTGTCCAGCTTGGGCCTGGGCACTGCCAGGGATCCAGGGGCAGCCCCAGCTGCTCTGGACAAC